TGTGTGTGTGTGTGTGTGTGTGTGTGTGTGTATGTATACCTTTTTTACTTACTCTATAGGTGAATGCTGTAGATGTTATAAGCCACAAAATCCTACCAACAGTTTTCAAGCACTTGTAAATTATAAAATGAAAATATCACAAGTTGCGCCCTTTTTTTGGGAAAAGTGGTTATACAAACCTTTGAACCTACTGAACTGAGAATGGCTGCTTTATAAATTCTTTCCTTTTACAGTTTCCTATAAATTTCCATTAAATAGCTAGTTAGCTCAGTACATTTAAAAAGTTTCATTTAGAAACAGCTTTTAGATGTACATCTACTATACTTATGAACTAGGTATAATTGTATTCAGTATTCATGTATCTTGTGAGAGTTATATATCAGATATCACTGATAAATGACAAATCTGAACATATACCAACAGTAGAATCCAATAATCAAGCTCTGGTGTAGGTTTCTAATAATATGAGATGGTGAACAAAAGCTGGTCAAAATCAAAAGATGCCTTTCTTTTTCCTATAAATAGAATTAACATTTTCAGTCACTAAGATATGTTTTATATTTTTCCTTAGGGCTAACTTAGAATATTTATGTGCATGAATTTTAATTAGTGGAAGACCCATGACAGTACATATTTGTATATTCACCTCAGAAATACCAGTGGGAGGACAGATAGACAAGTTAGTTTCTTATTGGTTGGAATGATTTTCTTTTGCTCTCAATGAAATTTTTTTGCTGTTTACCTTGCTAATTTCTATCTATATCTAGATTTGCATCTGGTTGTTTTAGGCAGAATGGAAAGATACATGGGAGATGAACAGGCTTGTGCTAGTTTAGGGATTGTTTAATAATAAAACCAAGCTGAAGCCACATGATAAAATGACTTTCTTTATCAACAACTATTGCTGAGTAAGTCATAAAGTTGAAGTTCTTTTTCATTTGACTTGATGAAATGAAGGCTTTTCTGTGAATACAGAAAATAATTCAAGTTCACATTCTCAAGAACTTATCCTACACTCGGAACATTTTTTCTATAGCTCTCCTTTTTATGTAGGCTTTCAGAATGGAATCATTTCAGGAAGTAGAGAGTTAACTTGAAATACTGCCGTTTTCCTTCCACTGGATATGAAATGGGAGCAGCTCTTATATCTTGCCTTGAAGTGAAATAGAAAAACAATATGCGAGAATGGAGATTGAGAATTTTGTAGGGCCTCTGACTCATCATAGTCCAGAAGAAGAGATGTCAGTGGAGAACATGGGAAAGAATGATCCATGCCAATGTTGTAAACTAGAATGGTAACATTGAAGAAACCAGGATTCAGAGATGGTCACTCAATTCTGTTTATTAGTGCAGGAGAATAAACTCAGACATTTGTCAGAAACAAGATTTGAAAGGGGAAAAAGTTTTTTGATTAATTCCAAAATCACTTTCCTATTGATCAAGCATCTCTGGGGAGTCCAATATGTAAAGTCTCCATTGGTTAGAGTATAATTATGCGCTATCCAGTTTAACTTGGAAATGCTTAATGACTCTTGCTTTGTATTCATTGCAGGTGAAAGCCCAGCCTCTGTGGTTCTTAATGCCTCAGAAGAATTATTTTCACTAAAGATGGAAACATTGGAGTCTGAATTGACCTGTCCAATCTGCCTTGAATTGTTTGAAGACCCCCTTTTGCTCCCGTGTGCTCATAGCCTGTGCTTCAACTGTGCCCATCGCATCTTGGTCTCAAACTGCAGCTCCGGTGAAACCATTGAACCCCTTACTGCTTTCCAGTGTCCAACGTGCAGGTATGTTATCTCACTGAACCACAGGGGCCTGGACGGCCTCAAGAGGAATGTGACCCTGCAGAATATTATTGATCGCTTCCAGAAGGCTTCAGTCAGTGGGCCTAATTCCCCAAGTGAGAACCGACGGGAAAGGACTTATAGGCCCAGTTCCGCCATGTCTAGTGAGCGAATTGCTTGTCAATTCTGTGAGCAGGACCCACCAAGGGATGCAGTGAAGACGTGCATCACCTGTGAGGTCTCCTACTGTGATCGTTGCCTGCGGGCCACACACCCCAACAAGAAACCTTTCACCAGCCATCGCCTGGTGGAACCAGTGCCAGACACACATCTTCGAGGGATTACCTGCCTGGACCATGAGAATGAGAAAGTGAACATGTACTGTGTATCTGATGACCAATTGATCTGTGCCTTATGCAAACTGGTGGGTCGTCACCGAGACCATCAAGTTGCATCCCTGAATGATCGATTTGAAAAACTTAAGGTAAGGGATCTGGGGACTATCCCTTATACAAGTTTGACTCCTCATATATAGTTATACAGTTATCAAGTTTCCTAGTAAAATACGTCATTTTTCCTATATGATGAGTGAATTAACTCCCAGTTGTTCTCATGTAGAGTAGCCTACTCGTCTCCAAGCTCTCGTGGGAACTTATCTCATCTGTTGCATTAACCTGCTTCATAGACTTCTGGACAATTCTGGGGGAGTTAGCCCATGTCTCACTCTATCAGTACTCTGTCTAGGGAAGCAATACCTTCTCTGCTTTTCTCTAACAGAGATATAGCACATTACATATCTTTGCTATGATCCTTTTATCTCTTCTTCTAAGTGAGTACCCATGTTTAAGTGTGCTATAGTTAGCATATGTGCTGATTTGCATAAATTTGAGTGTATCTGTGTAGGTACGGGTGGAGGTGTCTATCTATGTAGATGGTAGATGAGAGATTTTTGTGGAGGACTTTAACATATGTTTGTGTTTGCACACTTATTACAGTACAGAAACAGAAGTTTGTCATTAGCCATTACAAATTGCCATTAATCACTTAACACAGGGCTAATTCTAAGCCTGTTTTAAAAAAAAAGAAAATAAACAAAAAAGAAACCAGTATATCATGAAATCTGGAGGGATAGTCAAACATTTGAACTAAAAATTTAAACTGAAGACAATAGTTAATCTAGTATTAAATTTTCTGCCAGTGCGTTTTATTGTGGGTTATTAGACAGAAGCACTTGTTTGATGTTCCTGCCTTAGAAGTTCCAAGTCTTTCATTTATATCTAGTGGGCAGTTTTCTGAAGTTATTGTGCCATATAATATTTATATACAAGGCTAAGTGCCTACTTCTTCTTCTTTTTTTTTTTTTTGGTACCGAGGATCGAACTCTGGACCTTGCACTTGCGACGCAGGCACCGGAACCACTGAGCTAAATCCCCGGCCTTAATTGCCTACTTCTAAAGTTCTCCTACCTTAAATTTACGTTAACAAATGTCAGATATAGCAAATTGGTTTATTCCCATTGCATACTTACTGTGTGGTATGATTTCCCTTAAGAAGGAAGCTACTTAAGAGCTTTCTATAAAAATAAAATGTTTAAATAGATGGTAAGACTACCACTTCAAAATAAGGCTTAGTATATAATCCAAGCTAGAAGAAAGACCGAGATAGCATGGAAGGGGTGGGGGGCAGAAGGGAGTGGCCTCCTGCCACTCCTCCTGCCATATTCCGGAAAATTCTTTCAAATTTAATATAAAAAGGGCCAGGGATTTAGCTCAGTGGTTCTGCTGCCTGCCTCACAAGCATAAGGACCTGAGTTTGATACCCGGTACCAAAAAAAAAAAAAAAGATTCCTTCAAAATTTAATATAAAAAGTTATACACAAGCTTAAATATTGCATAATTTCTCTTATATGAGAAACCCAAATTATAAATGAAGAGCAAATTTAAAAAAAAGGAAGTATGGAGATAGCTCTTTCTCTAATGGGAAAGGGATCAAGATATGGATGGAGGGGAGAGGGAGGTAAGGGAAAGGGGATAAAAAAAATTAAGATATGCTATGTAACATGTGCCAACTCCACACAACGACTGGAACATGACATTCTACAAACATGTACTAATAAATAAATTAAAAATTATGTTGGTGAGGGTCGCAGTAAAATATGATACATTTTTCCTTCTGTAATTTGTTGTAGGTAATACTGAGAGTGGTCACACTGACAATGGTTTGTATCTGTTTATCATTTATATTTAATGTGCATAAAGTTCAGTGTTTATCTTTTGCATTTACTCAAGGTGATACTTTCATGTCAAAGCTGTAGAGGGGAGTTCCTATTGATATCAGTTTTTAAAACTGTAAAATGTTCTGCCTTGGGAATAGTCTGATTGAAAGCTCTGTACTTTAAAGAGGCATAAACTGAAACTTGATGGTTCGCGTGATTTGGTTAAAGTCACAGAGCTGGTTAGTAGTAGAAGTGCTGGATCTGAAACTCAGCTCCTAGACTGAGTTAACTATTCTTTCTACTGTAGCCTACTGCCACTATTTTTGGACCTACGTTTTCCCCATGAAATATGATTTAAAGCTTAATGCTCGAGAAACTGCACATTTCATGCGTCATAGATAAATGGTTATCAGCATCAAAGAAAGGACATATTATATGAACTTACAACTTCATAATACAAAAGATGGGGGGGATTATAGGAAGAATGGAAGACATGAGGAGGATGGAACAATCTCTGCCAAGTATTTGCAGGTGTTAGGACTATAATAAGGCATTGGCCTTGAGAAATATTCCAAACAGAAATATCTGTATCCGTATGAACTGCTGAGATAACAAAACGACTGGATAGAGTAAGCCTGTATCTACAGAACACCAGCTATTTGAAAACATCTGATGATTGATTAGACATTTGGCATCATGCAACTATATAGCCCTTGCTTCCAGGGATAGAGAGAATGCAAAAGTATTTTATCAAAAGACACTGCAGCCTGTGATTAATCAGTATTTTTTGGAGAAAGGCCAAATTTATAATAGGTCCCCTTCAATATTTTAGAAAATGTGCAAAAAATTCTGATTATGAATTAAGTGGAAACTATTTTTTGCTCATTTTTGGAGGAAGAGTGGAACATATGAATCATTCCCAATCGTGTGGTTTGTTATGTTGTGTGGAACATCTTGGGCTTCAAGGAGAAGAGGGAGATGCTGCTAATGTGTGTATGTGGGGGAGTCACTTTGGTTTGGTGCCAAATGTACAAGAGTAGTATTTCTCCACATTAAACAGAGAGGACTGTGAGTGCCACATATAGTCAATTTTCTGGGGTTGATTTTAAATTAGAAAAGCATTTAGGATTATCCTCCTAATCTACTTGATTTTTCCCTAAGGAGATAGGAGAAAGCTGACTGGCGCAAGCTATGGGGAGACTGCCTGAGCATACTCTCATGGCCTTAAGAGGAGGTGGGGAGTTCTGTTAGGGACGGGGAGGAGTGATAGGACACACACACACACACATATACATACACACACACACACACAATCTCAAGGGCTTTGACTCTGACTAGTAACTGATAAAGTGTTTATTTTTACTGTTTGCTTCTTGAGCTTCATTTTTGGCATTTATAACTATGTTTTATGTACTAATCTCCCTGATTAGGATTAATGACCACTGATATTTTCTTGTTCAACAAAGAATAAAGAAGCCATAATGTTATAGACAAAAGGGCAGAATAATAAAAAGTTAACTTGTCTTCTTAACATGTACTCAAAATGGATCAGAGGACTGGGGGTACTTATATAGTTTTATGATCCTATTTAACTGTCTAGTCTACTTGTAGGGTTAAGATGCATGACAGATATCATTCCGAAGGTACTAGTGGTTCAATTAATTCTTCAATTTCAAAGAATACTTGCATTGCTGACAGTCATTATAGTTGTAGGTCCTATCATAATATTTACTTTCTTCATTATCTCTCTTTTTTCACACACACATACATATATGTACGTAACATATATATGTATATATACACACACACACATATATATATTAGTTCATGATATAGTCTGCATTTTTGTAAAACTGCTTCACATTTCAGAATTTTCATCCTATGAGTTCTTCCCCTTATAAAATATTAATATTTTTATATTATTAAATGTTAGCTTTATAAAAGGAGGTCAAATTTCAATGGCTCTTTTTTGCCAATAGACTTCAATTTGATATTCTAAGTCCTGTACAATTTGATTTCATGCCCACCGTTTATCTTTTTCCCTTAATATTCTCCAACAGCTTCCTTCATCTACCTACTTGAGCCTCCTTATTGACTGCTAAGCAACCCATTCTCTTTTCTCTTAACTTTCAAGAGTATTGTTCTTTTGACTTGCTTAGGAATTTACCTATTATTTAGCGCTCAATTCAAACCCCGTAAGTCCAATCCAACACACCTCAAGTACTTCATAAATTCCTTGAGGCCAGACACAACATCTTTTATTTCTCTAGTATCCTCTTTATTGTCTAGCATACTTACATATTGCTCAAGAAATCCAATTGAATTAAGTCCTCATAATGGTTTTGGAGGAAGGATACCAGTGACTGTAGCTTGGTTCAGTTCTCATCTTAGTAGATTAAAAACTATGAATACTTTAGAAGTCTGAAAAAAGTCTCCTGTGAACTGACAGTCTTCAAAGCCAGAGTGTTAGCGAAAGTATGATATGTCCTTAATTTTATGTGCCTATTCATTTTGATTGTTAGATTTTCTACCTGCCTAACCCTATGGTGACATCTATATAAATCAGATATGATTAAAATAGTTCTCTTGAGAGTGGTGCCTTCACATTTCCATGCCCACAGCCTGCCAAAAATATAGCTGATGAAAACCAGGGAGAATAGAAGAATTTTCTGAAAGAAATAAACAAGCACACTTTCTTTTTCTCATTACATTTCCACAAATTTATTACTACAAATAACTCTTAAATAAAGTTACATTTACATATCAGGGATCTTGTAAAATATTACCTGATACCGGAATAAACTTTTTGCCATGGGGAAGTAAAGCGCACACACACACACACTCTCTCTCTCTCTCTCTCTCTCTATATATATATATAGAGAGAGAGAGAGAGAGAGAGAGAGACTGAGACAGAGCAAGAGATGGCCAAAGAGAAAGATATGAGAAACTTGGAGAATGTTCAAAGGAAAGCCACAATGATAGTCAAAATGTTGGAAAATATGATATTGTAAAATTTTATCACAGTTGATTACTTGTCCTTCTAATTCAGTCACTCTGCCATCCATTCACCCAGCTGCCATCTCTTCCCAGTCATTTGTCTACTCACCCACCCTACACTCACTTCCGTTGTTCAAGATAGACACCCTCTCAACTTATGTACCACTGGGCATTTGACTATTTCTGAAGCAGTATGAATATGAACATAAGTATAAGAAAGAGAATTATCTTTATGAGGGACTGGGTTGAGAGAGGTTATATTTTCATACTTG